GTGTCTGCCTTTGGCTCAGATCATGACCCCAGGGCCCAGACTCCCTGCTCAGTGGGGAGTCTACTTCTCCCCCTCCCCACTGTTCATGCTCTCTCTCTTGCTATCTATTTTTCTCTCAAATAAGTACATAAAATCTTTTAAAATTAATTAATTAAATAGCAACTTCAAATAATGAAGGGCTAGGGGTTTGGAATTATAAATTAATCCTGACACTATTACCAGAATGTTTGGGAACTAGACACATCTCTGATTCTCCTTTACTCACATAGAAATGGGATGAAATCTACTTCCCAAGGTTGTAATGATGATTAAACTCAATGGAACAAGTCTTACATATATTGTCAATTACAAGTGATACACAAATGTCAGTCATTTCCTGATGTTTCTTTCTCATCGGTCACAGGGACAAACATTTTTAGTCATCGTAATCTCTGATGGTGGTCTCAGTTTCACTTGCTGTGATTCCATGAAAACACACATCTGAGGACTTACTTTGCATCAGCCCTGTATCTGCTGCTGGAGATTATAGAGATGAATAGAACACCATTTTTTAAAAAATTCTTTTCAGTGTACCAGAATTCATTGTTTATGTACCACACCCAGTGCTCCATGCAATATGTGCCCTCCATAATTCCCACCGTCAGGCTCACCCAACCTCCCATGCCCCACCCCTCCAAAACCCTCAGATTATTTTTCAGAGTCCATCATCTCTCATGGTTCTTCTCCCCCTCCAATCGCCCCCAAGTCCCTTCTCCTCTCCATCTCCCCATGTCCTCCATGTTATTTGTTATGCTCCAAAAGTAAGTGAAACCATATGATAATTGACTCTCTCTGCTTGACTTATTTCACTCAGCATAATCTCTTCCAGTCCCATCCACGTTGATACAAAAGTTGGGTATTCATCCTTTCTGATGGAGGCATAATACTCCATAGTGTATATGGACCACATCTTCCTTATCCATTCGTCTGTTGAAGGGTATCTTGGTTCTTTGCACAGTTTGATGACCGTGGCCATTGCTGCTATGAACATTGGGGTACAGATGGCCCTTCTTTTCACTACATCTGTGTCTTTGGGGTAAATACCCAGTAGTGCAATTGCAGGGTCATAGGGAAGCTCTATTTTTAATTTCTTTTTTTCTTTAAGATTTCATTTATTTATTTGACAGAGATCACAAGTAGGCAGAGGGGCAGGCAGAGAGAGTAGAAGGGGAGCAGGCTCTCTGCTGAGCAGAGAGCCCGATTTGGGGCTCAATCCCAGGACCCTGAGATCATTACCTGAGCTGCAGGCAGAGGCTTTAACCCACTGAGCCACCAGGTGCCCCTATTTTTAATTTCTTAAGGAATCTCCACACTGTTTTCCAAAGTGGCTGTACCAACTTGCATTCCCACAACAGTGCAAGAGGGCTCCCCTTTCTCCACATCCTCTCCAACACATGTTATTTACAGTCTTGTTAATTTTGGCCATTCTAACTGGTGTAAGGTGGTATCTCAACGTGGTTTTGATTTGAATCTCCCTGATAGCTAGTGATGATGAACATTTTTTCATGTGTCTGTTAACCATTTGCATGTCTTCATTGGAGAAGTGTCTGTTCATTTCTTCTGCCCATTTTTTGACGTGGTTATCTGTTTTTTGAGTGTTGAGTTTGAGGAGTTCTTTATAGATCTGGATATCAGCCTTTTGTCTGTACTGTCATTTGTGAATATCTTCTTCCATTCTGTGGGTTGCCTCTTTGTTTTGTTGACCGTTTCCTTTGCTGTGCAGAAGCTTTTGATCTTGATGAAGTCCCAAAAATTCATTTTTGCTTTTGTTTCCTTTGCCTCTGGAGACATACCTTGAAAGAAGTTGCTGTGGCCGATGTCGAAGAGGTTACTGCCTATGTTCTCCTCTATGATTCTGATGGATTCCTGTCTCACGTTGAGGTCTTTTATCCATTTTGAGTTTATCTTTGTGTATGGTGTAAGAGAATGGTCGAGTTTCATTCTTCTACATATAGCTGTCCAATTTTCCCAACAACATTTATTGAAGAGACCGTCTTTGCCACCAAGAATGCAAGCTCCTAGTTAGGTTTTATGATAGGGTTTTCACAAGCTAATTGGTCTCTTTCCATTTCCCTCCTTTCCTGACTTGCCATGTCTCAGTCTGTTTCTCTTCATTTCAATCTCTTAAAAAAAAAATTATTCCCACCATCATTCAAATATGAACCCTGAGCAAACAGTAAGGACACATCTAGAGCATTTTTAAGACAGGAGTTCTAGCTGCAAGAAATCTTACATAAATCCTAAAAAAAAAAACCACACATTACTGAATTCATTTATGAGTTCTAACAGTTTTTTTTTCTTTTTAAGAATCTTTAGGGTTTTCTATATATAAGATCATGTCATCTGCAAATGGATAATTTTACTTCTTCCTTTCCGATTTGAATACCTTTTATTTATTTGTCTTGCTAGCTGCTCTGGGTAGGACTTCCAAGTGAGAGCAGGCTTAAATTTACTGCTCACCTTTTCCCTTTCTGCACACATCTCCTCCATTAATAGTGGAGAATTGGGCCTTCTGTGGGACATCCTTTTAAAAACACTGATTTCTAGCCAGCAGAATGAAAGTGCTAAAGTCAGTTGTACCTAGACGTTAATTCAGTTATTCATTGATTCTACACATATTAATGGATAACCTATTATATGGCAGGCAGTATTTTTCATACTGGGTCTACAGAAATAAAGAAAAGTGACCAAACTCTGTCTTCATAAAGCTTACAGTCTGGCTGAAGAATATTTTTATCAGTACAAAAAAATAAATGTTGGAGTCTATGACATAGTGAGAAGTACTAAGGAGAAGAATAAAGCAGAAGGAAGAATAAAGAGATTATGTGGAGGGCAATTTAGTAAGTGACCAAAACAGTGGAGTCAAGAGCTAAGGGAGGCAAGGAGGAGCACTCTGTGACTATCGGGGAATATTCTGGGCAGAGAAAAGAGTGAGCACAGAGATCCTGGGGCAGACACAAGTCTGGCATTTAAGGAATAGCAAGGAAACAAGTGGGTCTGAGGAGAGGAGAGCAAAGAGGAAGCTAACTGCAGGGCTGGAATTCTGGCTCTGACCCTTCATAGTGCTGAGAGAATTATCTAAACTCCTAACCCTCTATCCTGCACATGGATAATATCTCCTAGGGCTGCATGAGGTTTAAACAAGATGGCACACAGCATAGTATTTCGTACAGTGCCTGGTTCATAGGGAATGCTCGAACATGTTTGAGGTGATCGCTATTGCTTACAGGCTAAAAATCCAGGATTAGAATTGTGGATTTACAAGTTCACCCTTTACTGGCTGTGTGACTTTAGGCAAAGAATTGAACTCTTTGTGCCTCAGTTTTCTCATTTGTAAAATGAAGATAATAACAGAACCTCCCGCATGGAGTGGGTATGAGGATTAAATGTACTAATATATGTAAAGGAAGTAGAACAGTGCCTGGTAAATAGTAAGGCTCCATAAAATGAGCAGTGATTATGATCATTAATGAGTTCCCAATGTGTTCCAGGTCAGTAAAAGAATAGACCAAAAATTAAAGTCGTTTTGATGTCAGCCTTTCGGGAAAGGGGATTCGTGCTATTGGCTGGAGCTAGCATCATCTCAAGGCTCACCCGGAGAACGAGCCACTCCTAAGCTCACTCGTGTGGCTGTTGGCTGGATTCCCAGCTATGGGACTGAGGGTTTCAGTCCTTCCTTGTCATTTGAGACAACCCCTCAGATTCGTGTTTGTGTGCTTCTCCAACACGGTCACTTGCTTCATCAAATTGTGTAAGCCGAGAAGTTAGAGAGGCCAATAAGACAGAAGCCATAGTCTTTTGCAACCTAACTGTGGGAGTGCAACCCACCACTTGTGTCTCATCTACACAGGAGAAGCAAGTTATTCGCTTCAACCCACACTGAAGGGGAGGGGATCACACAAGGTTCTTTGAGGGCCATCTTTGCAAACTGTCTACCGCAGAATAGATGCATTCTCCCCCAACCCCTTCTGCAGCTCGGGGCGTGTTCTACAGAAAATCCTGCCTTTGGCATAACCTCAGAGAAAAACGGAACCTCAAGAAAGAATGAAATTAACTTTACTTCCAGGCTGACCAACTGGGGCTTCAGAAGAAAAACTGATTTCCAGAAAGCAAATAAGGAACATATCTTGGACATTTGAGTGGATGATTCACCTATTTCTCATTTCTTTTATCTTATTTCATTCCCCAAGGCATTCTGCAAAATGTGTATTATTACTCATAATTGAAAGAATTGCAGCTCAAAAAGGTTAAGTCACAAATCCAAGGTTACACAGCTGGTAGGTGGACAGAGCTTGAATCTCAGTCTGTGCAACTCCTAATCCCACACCCTTTCCATATCCAAAGCACCTTGGTGTTGCTAGAACATATATATATGTATGTGTGTGTGTATATATATATATATATATATATATATATATTATCATTTACAATAGTAGAGATTTTTAGGAACCCACCGATAGGAAATTCTTTGAGTTGAGCTAAAATATAAATATAAAATGTAAAATGCCACCCATAGAGGTTCCTGTAAATCTCAACCTTTGGTGAATCAACGTACTGCCACTACAGACATTTTCACACATTTTCAGAAAATCCAGATCCTGGTATTGAATAGTATGCTGAATTTAATAGCATCAGTGCGTTATCACCAATAAGCTTAATTGATTTGGACAGAGCACAGCTATGCGCTACTATTCTGGAAAGGGTCAGAGGATGACAAGCAAGAAGTGTTGCTTCTCTGGCAGTTCTTATATTCTCACAGCGAGGGTGATGAGGTAGCTCAGAAAAGCGTCCCTCGAGTGACCAGGCTACATCCAGCTGGCCTGATTTGTGAGCTACACATCCCCTGTTGCCGGTCCAGGGAACTATTTTGAGTCTTCACCATACTCCTGGGTGTGAATGCCACTGATGAGAGCCCAACAGGAAGTGTGACCTCATCCTGCCTCTCAGTCTCTGGTTATGCAGGCTGTTTTTGAAAGAAAACAAGAGCAGTTATAAAGCTGACTTTCGCAAGAACTACATGCCCCTTTATTCTAGGAAGCAGCCAAAAGAACAAGAGGCCACTGAAGACAAAACTTTCTGCAAACGCCTGCACACGGTGTTGTGCGCAGGCATCTGTTAGAAGGAGAGAGTGCTCTTCGTTGCAGGACTTCTGTGCACCTGTTGACACTCTGACATGATTTACAGCTGAAGAACTGCTAAGTCCTGGATTTTTTCACCGTCGACCAGAGGAAACTTTGCACGTCAGTAATTTTTTTATTTATCACAAAGAAGAAGAAAGTGGGAACTCCCTTTGGAAGGAACATGTACGGACAGATTATTTCGCAGGATGGATGTGTTACTTTGATGGAACTGGTAGACAGAATCTGTTTCTTGAAAAGATTTAGAGCTGTTACTGAAGGCTTTTTTAGTGTTACTAATACTAGATTAACTGTTAGTATACTGCCTGTAGCTTGATATAAATATTTGTAAGAGATAGCAGTAAAACCTTGCTTTCTGACACAGGACTTGTTGGTTTAAAATTAAACGTAACACTTGGGGAAAGCTAACATGGTATAATTTGGGCTGCACCTTTAAGATGGTATTGATCAAAAATCAAAAGGATGGTGGCAAACTATTATATTATGGTGCAAGCAGTATTATTTTATATTCTAAATAAAAATCTATAAATGTATGCTTTGATTTAGAGATCTTCCAATGAATGCCAGAAAGTTCTCCTGACTTCTTTAAAGGTCTCTATACCTAGGATCTGTATTTTTGAAAAGGTGTTGCATCTAATTTATTGAAAGAATCCGTTTGGAGCTGTAGGATTATCCTGGCTTGATTTAATGTATGACAGCCACAAAAACAATCCATTACCAGTTATCACATTTTAAAAACGTGGAAAGAGGTGGTAAATTAGGAAAGAATTTAGTCCTACCTTGCAAGGCTAATAGGATAGTGATGTGTAGAAAGTGTCATAGTTTACAGCAGATAGATCTATGAGATGAGTGGTATATGATCAAAGTCTACATAATTTACACACTTAGATGTATTTTAAATTTGTAATTGAGAAAGTAAATTTATATGTTCCTGAGAGCTGCATTTTGAAATCTGCCTGGTGGTAGGCTATTTTAAGTGCACTCTTGTGCTGCTTGAGAATGTCCAGGCTGACAGTGTCTATGAAAGACCGCCAGCCCTTGCTATGACTACCTGTCAGTGGTCCGAGGTGTTACACAAAAGACCAACACCAATCTCCAAGCATTGCTTGAAACTTGATAATGAGGGCGATGTGCATTGGGTGACAAAACTACAAATATCCTTATTTAGAGGGCTCTACAAAACCCAACCTTTTTTCTGATTTCTTAATCAAATAATTCACTTGCATTATTTATTTTGACAGATCAATGGCATAAATCTAGCTTTCTCAAATAAAATGCTGTTCTTATTTACAGAACAAGATTATTTTGGATGCACTCAGACAGACAATGGGAAATAGTACAAAACCGTAGATGCAGACACAATCTCAGTGGTCACTGGTTCCAGGCTCCTCCTTCAGTCCAAAATCTCGTGTCATTTGGTAAACAAGTCTGACTGGTGCAATTAGTAGATGCCATCTGTTTTGGCACGATTTTTCTATTTTTAATATATAATCCACCTTTTTTTTCATGGCTCTTTCAGAAAATCTGTGAAGTTTGAACAAGCAGGCTTCCCAAGATGTACGGAATATCTCAACTGATGTCAACACCAGTGGCAAGTAAATGTAGGAGAACTGCTATGCGCAATTATCTTTTGAACGATTAGACTTCTTTTAGCAATTTCCTTGCTTTGATTTTGCTGATACTCATACCATTAACCATCTGTCAGTAGCTTGTGCTTCGTAAGTGCCAGTGTTCACTTTGGCAATGATTTTGACTTCATTTCTTTCCTTGAGAGAAATGTGGTATTTGTCTTTCTAGTAGAAAAAAAAAATCACTGGTTTTTTAGATGCCTGTGCATAAATGTGAAAGGAGATTGTTTATCAGCTACTATTAAGATGCAAAACTGTCTATAAAAAATACTGAATGATTTTGATAGCTACTTGCAGGAAGTAAGGGCGTTGTTAAAATGGTAGTGGTTTCAAGTTTCTTCCTTCCTCTAGTCATTTTCTCCCCAAGCCCTGCTTCTAACCCCTCCCCCAACACACACACCTACAATTTACTCCTTACAAATCAACCAGCCCCATCTGAAAGCCTAAACTTTGTCTTAGATATTAATCATCCGCAGTGGAATCAAGTTTCACTGAACCTATTAGAAGTGTTCACATGTTACTGTACAAAATCCCACTTTAGAGTTTAGAATATTAATTAACTGCACTTTACCCAACTGAAATCTGTTGCTATGCCTTTGGTTAAAGTGAGTTGAATGAATGGATGATTTTTTTTTCATTGAGAATATTCACAGGCTTCATACACTGGAAATCATTTATATAAAACAAAACAAAACTTAATTTTTTTCCTCCACTAATGTCCTCTGCTCATTATTTTACAATGAAAGTGACTTAAAATGCCCTAATGAGAGACAGCCTGGGCAGATGATTGAATCGCTCAAATTACTGAGTAAGCTAAAATAACCAGCACGTTGGCTCATTGATTCAGGTTTTCTACAGCTTCACACAAGATGCTTTCTTCCTCCTTTTCATGAGTCAGTTTGATGCTAATGGTTTATTATTGCCTCATCCTCCACTCAGAAACCTCTAAAGGATGTTGAGTGAGAGAAGAAACAGAAGATAAAAGCCCTTCGATTATTTCTGGCTCCCCGTAAGGGTCTGGTGACAAGTTGTGTTAGTCTTGATTCACTGGATGCCTGCACCAGTTGGAATCTCTGCTGAGCCTGGAGCTATTCATACCTTCTTTGACGCCTCCGTTATTTGCAGTCAAGCATGTTGGGGAGGTGGGATAAATTTGTGCTTCTCTCCTCTTTGCCGATGCAGGTTCTTCTGGCTCTGAGAGAAGATATACTGGAGAGCTGTCTCCCACATGTGTTTTCCCAAGGTATCTTATGGAACTTTTCTCAAGACAAATCAATCATGTGTCTTCTTATGTGTCTTACTGGTTTAAAAATATTAGTTTTATCTCTTATCTGGTTTTGGCATGGGCATAAATATTTAGTCCCATGTACATGCAAAATGAAAACTTACCTAACCTAATAATGATTTGGAGGGGGTGGCTGTGAGAGTGGGAGCACATGTGAATTGGTTGGAGAGTGGAGAAACTGTTGGAGGCTGATGAATAGTTGCTTTTTCTCAAGTTGATGTTCTCCTAAATATGCTTTACTATCTCGGTTTATAAGAGCAACAAGATTCTATACCAATGCCTGAGCTGTCCAGATTCCATTCTCCGAAAAAACATGTAGAGTCTACCATTTTGTTCAAGTTCTGTAATGAAGTCTCTTCTTTCCATCCTTCCTTCTTTCTTTCCTTCCTTCCTTCATTTTTTTCTCTTTTTTTTCTGTCTCTTCTCTCTTATTCCTTATGCAGGTCTCACTGATGTTTTCTCTAGCATTTTGTAAAATGTGCCAGTGGTATAAAGGAATCATGCCTTGGTCTTAGAACCTGCCCTTATTTGTAAATTCTAGGCCTCTTTGCTACTGTCAAATGAATCAACCAAGGATGGACAAGACGGCCATGTGGAGCGAGCCCATGCTTTAGTGTTAAATAGACCAGGGCTCGAATCCTAGCCTTGTCACTCACCAGCTATTATTAAATGTCCAAGTTATTTGTCCTTCTGCATCTCGTGTTTTTTTTTTTTTTTCCTACAGTGTAATGAAGATCACAATACTTAGTTTTTGGGGAGGTTTGTGAAAAGTAGATAAAGCATGAAGTATGAGCTAGGCCCATAGTAAGTTTTCAACAAATAATATCCATTTAAAATAGTACTTTACTAAATTTAGTGCATGTATTAATTGTGGACAGGTTTCTACGTTTAAAACTTTACCAGAGGGCTCAGTTGGTTTAGTGTCTGCCTTAGGCTGGGGTCATGACCCAGGTCTCCTTGCTCAGTGGGGAGTCTGTTTCTCTTTCTCCCTCTGACCTGCCCCCACCCTGTTTGTGCTCTGTCTCTCATGCTCTCCTTCCCAAATAAATAAATAAAATCTAAAAAAAATAAAAATTAAATAAAACTTTATCAGAAATTCCGTAGAGCTTGTGGTATGAGGTGGCCTTTCAATCAAACAGGCATATGGTTGTTTCTCAAACCTAACACACATGGAGATTTTCCCAACTGAATGGGAGACTTTCCTGGATATCAAATCACAACTGCATGGTCATTCGTGCAGCTGACCTAGAGGGAAATCAGCAAAGGCCAAAAAGATCTCTTTGACTGCATCTTCACCCTGTAACTCTTCTGTGCCTGGTGGCTGCAAGGTTGAAATTTATCACTCACAGGGAAAGAATAATGATGTTGCAACTGGAAGGCTATTCAAAGAAAAGGGGTGGTGACTATAAGTTTCCAACATCCCAGCTAGGCTGTTTTGTAATTTTTCCATCCAAGAAAATGGATTAATGTCAAGGGTGTAGTTGCATCGTATGGTGAAAAGACTGATTAGACAGAAAATTTTCATCAACATGTTTAAAACAGAAAAAGGCACTAAATGTCCTGTCATTTAATGCTCTCACTAGTGAGGAGATGTAGCCCAGAGTAGAAGTGACATTCTTAGGGAGGCAGAAGTAACTGGTAGCCATGAATGCTAAGAGGTATTTTCCTTCACAGTGGCTAGAAATGTGGTTTTGTGGGACTGGATGTAGTGGATAGAAGTGGAAAGGACTTTCCTTCTTCCCCCTTTAGTTTTGCCTGTGATTTCCTGGATGGTGACACTTCCTTCAAATGCTGCTCTGTAGATCTAACAGCCTCCCACTTTGCCTGTCGCCGAAGTCCCAGACTCCTCTCCAATGGATACTACACTTGGACAGAAGACAGTTTCCTCTGTGACAAAGATGGCAATGTAACTCTGAACCCACCCCAGACCAGTGTTCTTTACAAGGAGAATTTAGTTAGGTAAGTAGAGGATATTACATGAGAGAATCTGAAGTCTGGTCCACCCACTAGTTATTCATTAGTTCATTTGTTCATTTAGCGATGATTCCTAAGAGCTCATTATCGTGGAAGCACAAAGACTAATATGGGGCAAGGACTGCTGATGTGAAAACAAACAAACGTGCTGAAGCAGTATGGGTGTTGGGGTCAGGGTCTGAACAGAATACAGTGGAGGAGATGAGGAAAGGAAGCCCATTTTATTTGGGGAAACAGGTTAAAACAAGATTCCTAGAGATAATGAAGATTGATTTGAGTCTTGACAGATATAGGATGTTAGCTAAAATAAAAGTAGCAAGTGAGACTTCCAGAGATGGAATGGGCATGGAGCCCTGGGAGACCCTGTACCATTTGGAAAACGGCAGGTGGTTTGGCAGAAATCAACTCAGGGTAGAGGGGCAGGAGGGAAGACTGAGCAGACACAGACTGAACAGAGAAGCTTCACGTCCAGCTCAGTGTGTTTGTTTTTGTTCTGAAGGTAGGGAGGAGCCATTGACAAATGACGAATGACCAGATTTATTCTTACAGTGTAGAGGATAAGTTGCTGGTAGTATGGATGGGTGAGCAGTCAAAATCTTCCGGAAATGCAAATCACATGTGTGTCATCACTAAGCCCCTCCCTTGACATACCCAGTGGTTTCCCTTTACCCTAATGTCAAATTGTAACTCTTTACATAATGTTACTATAATGGAGAACCATTCAAGATTCTTCATTCCCTGCCTTCATGTTACCTGTCCAGCCTCATTTCCTAGCACGGGCCAATATGAGACTTACTTGTTCTTTAATGACTGGATCAGATCATCCTCTGCAGCTCAGTGGTCTCCTATCCTCAGAAACCTCCCTTGACTCCTGATCAGCAACACCCTTCCTGATGCTCTCAGAGCAGCCTCCAGTTAATTCCGCCAGAGCACACATCCCCTACCTAGCATGGTAATGCAGACCAAGGACTATGGAGCCAGGCTGCCCGGGTTTCTTCCCAGTTATGCCACTTACTAGATACATGACCTCAGCCAAGTGCCTTAACCTTTTGTGCTTCAGTTTCCTGATCTGAAAAATGGGGTCACAATAGTACTTCCCTCACGGGGCTGTTCCAAGGATAATATGAGTTACTTTATGTCAACCATAAAGAAAGACATCTGGTGTGGGATAAGCTCTATGAAGTCATTAGCTTCATCTGCATAGTTCTTGTCTCTCTCCTGTACTGGTTTGTGAACTTTTTGTACCAAAGGTTTTATCTTGTATCTCAGCATCTTTGATACTGATCCAGGCACCTGGAACACACAGAAATTTAAGAAACTTCTGTGGGATTAACAGAGGGAACAAATGAAATGAGCTTCACAGATCCGAGTTACAGAGATGGATCCTATGCATCAAATCACTTTCACTAAATTCTTGGTTTTGAACCAAACGTGGCTGCTATGCATTATGCATCATGCTACTTTCATTTCTCCATTTCTCTCCAGAATATTTAGAAAGAAGAAGAGAGTCCGCCGTTCCTTTTCTAATCTCTTCAGCCTCGGTACCTCTGAATCCTGGCTGCACAGAAACATCTTTGGTGATGTTGACTCTTCCTTAAGTGAGGACGCCTGGTTAGAGGGGGTCAGGAGGCTGGACATGCAGCATTGCAATGAAACTGGTGAGTCTGAATCTCCCTTTCTACAGTGAAATATCATTCACAAATGGGCAACAGCAACCATGTGTTCCCGGACCAATATAAATTCCAGAGAAGACCATCATTGCATAGAAAGAATGGGCCACATTTTTTAAAAAAATCACCTAAGGTTCTCTCCACACTACTTACATGATCCAATTACGTATGTATTCATGTCATGTATTATACAAAATAGCCTAATTTAAATGTGTAAATTATTAGGCTGATAATACCTGAAATATGTGTTTGTACATCTTCAGTGTATCTTGTCTATACAGGATATAGATGGAGAAAAGACACTGAAGTTGGGGTCCAAGTCCCTGGGTGAGCACACTGAGATAGTTACTTAACTCTGCTATGTCTGTTTCCTTATTTTAAAAACAAGATACATATGCAGAGTATAATATATATATATTCATATATTCCTATTGAAATACATGCTACATGTATGTATTATATATACATGTATATCATATGTATTCATATTAAATATACATGATATTGTGTATACATATTATGTAATACACAGAATACAATATTACTATATGTAAATATGTGTATATAGATACACATATATGTATGTAAACACAATGATAGGAACCCAAAGTATATCTTAAAGATTAAATGGACAATGAATGTCAAGCATATTTCAATCCCTGATACTCAGTGATTTGTAGTTACAATCATTTTTATTACTAGAATGAGAACAGTGGTTATTTATTGGGCACCTACCATCTGTGCTAGGTCTGGGGACACAAGAGTAAATACAAATAACATAACCCCAGCCTCTAGTTTGCTGGGGCCGGGGGTGAGGTTCAGACCTTTGTCAAATAATTGCACAAACAAATATAAAATAATTGTGGTAAATGCCATGGAGAAAAATATATGATGTAATGAGAGATTTGACACAATCAGAAACTCAGGAAAGTCATCCCCATTGAAGTGGCATTTGAGCTGTTTTCCAGAAAATAGGAGGGGCTTCTCTGGGTAAAGGAGGAAGGTAAGAGACAAAATGGCTAGGTCTGAGGAATCTGGGGAGTAGGTTTGCTGGGTGAGGGAAGACCACATACATGGTTTGGAGCATGTTGAGGTGAAGTTCCTTTGCGACATAAGGGGCAAGTCAATCTGGGGCTCCAAGGGACAGTGTGAGTTAAAGCTACACATCTGTGATTCGCCTCTGAAGCCACGGAATGGCTGAGACACGTTAGGAAGAAGGTAGAGTTGACAAAGAGGGAGTCCAGAAGGGAGCATTTTGAATGGGTGAATAGGACATGATTAGTCTGCAAAAGGGATTGAGAGGAGGCATCCAGAGAGGTGAGAGGAAGACTAAGTGTTATGAAATGAGAATCAAAGGAAAATAGGGCTTCAAGAGGGATGGGGCAATTATCACTGACAAATCATGTTCAGGGGTTGATCAGGATGACAACCGGATTTGTCGATCTTGAAGTTATTGGTGGTGGAGAACTAGGAAGGGCACCTGGGTGGCTCAGTCCATTAAGCACCTGCCTTTGGCTCATGTCATGATCCCGGGGTCCTGGAATCGAGCTCCGCATCGGGTTCCGTGCGTAGTCTGTTTCTCCCTCTCTATCTGCCCCTCCCCCACTGCTCGTGTTCTCTCTCTCTCTTTCAAATAAATAAATAAAACTCTCTTTAAAAAAAAGAGAACCAGAGGGTAGAGGGTGAAGAGTGTGGGAGGTAAGGAAATGGAGGCTGGGGTTGAGGATCCTTCAAGATGCTTTCTGAGAAGGGAGAGAGAAAGACTCCCCCCACCCCCACACACATTCTACTCTGGTAACAGTCATCCTTTTTCAATTTCCTGAATGGACCATGTTCTTCCACACTTCTGTGGCTGTGCTTATGTTATTCATTCTGCTGGAATTCATTCATTCATTCATTCATTCACTCATTCATTCATTCATTCAATTGTAAGATTTATTGAGGGCCAGCTATCTACCAGGGACCACTGGGACATAGTGGCAAGCAAACTTGTTCTCATGGAACTTGCATCCCTGTGGGGGGAGACAGAAAATATGTAAGTTACATAGCCGGTTAAAAGTAGTAAGCGGTGTGGGAAAAAACAGAGGAGGAAGAGATGGGGATTGCAAGTTTAAGTAGGGCGATTAGGATGACCTCATAAGAATGACTTCTGAGCATTGGCTGCAAAGTGGAACTAAAGCACCTAGGAGAGGAAAAATCCAGGCGAAGGAAATGCCAGCACAAAGGTCTGGACTAGGAGCATCCCAGGGCTGAGTGTGAGAGGGAAGGAGAGAGGATAAGATCTCAGAGGTATGTAGCTGGGTGCAAGTGGGGAAGGACAGGGACAATGGGAAGCCCATTCAAAAGTTTCACCTTCTACTCTGAATAAGGGGAGAACCCATTGCAGGATTTTAATCAGAGGAATAAGATTCTATTTATACATTGACAAGATAACTCTGGCTGCTCTGTTCAGATTAAAGGTAAGATAGGTAGTAGGGCAGAAGCAAGGAAATCAGTTAAGATGATGTTGGAGTGACTCACTGGGGTGATAATAGTAGCTGGAATGGAGTAGGTAGAGTTGAGAAGCAGGAGGATTCTGGATACATTTCAAAGTTAGTGCCAATAGGAGAAAAAAAAGAGCCAACAGGATTTGCTGATGTAACCTTAGAGAAAGAAGTCAAGTGTGTTTATTTATAAGCTAAGTACGTTCTGTCCTGTTTAAGTATTTACCTTGTTTATATACATTATCTTGTTTAAATATCCCCTAACCCCCTAGGAAGTAGGTTATATGATCATAATTTTTTATAATTATGGTGAAAGTGAGGCTCAGGGTTAAGTGTCTTGCCCAAGTTCATTTAGTTTATAAACAGCAGAACTGGAATCCAATGTGGATCTGTCTGGTTCAAAAACCCAGTCTTTGTTCTAGTGCCAGAAAGGATTTCACTTTTCTTTCCAAGATGAAATCCAACATATACCCCACAGCCCAAGCTCAAAGAGCAGGCAAGAGGAGACATATAATACAACCATATAATAATTTAATGGTTTAGTACTTGCATGTCTTACTATTTTTCTCACTCTTCTTCCTGGGCAGAAAACACAATGCTACATTCATTAAAAAAAAAAACAAAAAACTTTTTAAGTTGTGGGAATTATAGATTCATGAGAAGTTGCTAAAAATAGTACAGAGAAGGCCTGCATACACTTCATCCAGATTCCCTCACTGGTTACAACTTATTCAACTATATACAGTAATTATCAAACCCAGGAAATTGACATTGACGCAATATGATTAAGATTTCACCAGTATTTAAATGCACTTGTGTGTGTGAGAGTGTATACTAGATAAATTTAAATTTAAAAACAGAGTAAGTACTCGTTAAGTGAAGACATAATTCTTATACAAACAAAAGATTAATTAAATGGAGTGTATCCTAGTTCCCACAATAACAAGGATGTATAAACAGGACGTGAAGAGAAGGAGGCAGGGAAATGGGGCCTGGAAAGACAGACAGAAGATATATTTGGAGAACCTTCTGTGCCATATTGAGGAGCTTGGATTTTACCTTACTCAATCAAAAGTATCTTAGAAGGCTCTTGAGCAGGGCGATAACATAATCAGGTTTGAATTTTCAAAGATGACCTTGACAGTAACATGAACTGAAGATTGGACGAAGGGTGACAAGGAGCCAACAGCCAACAAAGGAACATCTAGAAGTAAAGAGGAAGGAAGAGATTTAACAAATATTCTCCAAGGCTGAATGGACAGATTGGTGAATGAGTGACTATAGCAATTGGAAGTGGGAAGAATCCAAGAACACTGGGGGAAGGCAGGAAATGTTGAGGCATCACGAAGAACTGGAAGACAGGACTGGCAGAGTGATGAGGGGAATGGGCATTGGAGCTGAATGGGTCTGAATTCAAGTTCCGAAGCCATCTTTTCCAGCCTGAGTGTTCTTAGGCAAGTTAATGAACACCCCCAACCTCCATTTCTTCACATATAAAAGAGGATACTAGTAGCACATAGAATTATTGTGAGGGTGATATGTACTAATTTGTGAAAAAGTACATACTTGCATAGGGGCTGGTTCGGCTTGGGACTTATTAGCTCTAAAGCATCAAAAAGAAAAAAGAAAAAAAAGAACAGATTTGAGTCAAGAAATGAGATAACAAATTCTATTTCACATGAACTGAATTTGAGGCACCAATGGAAAGTAGTAAGATAGCCAGGGGAGGTTTGGAAACATAACAAAAGCACTGCAGAACAAGAAAGGACCTAAAGATACTGCTTTGGAAGCCAATAGAAGAAGTTGTTATAGAGGTCTCTGGAATAAAGGGGTTTATTTACAGAAAATGTGAATGAGCAGAAAGGGGAGTTAAAGAAACTGAGGAGGATGAACAGAAGGTCCAGTCATAATTTCCCTTAACCATAATGAGTATCGTGGGCCAACATTACACCAACCAACCCATGTACTTTTTAAAGATTTTATTTATTTATTTGAGAGAGAGAGAGAGAGAGCACCAGCAAGGGAAGGAGCAGAGAGAGGGGAAGACTTCCACTGAGCAGGGAACTCCACAGGAGGGTCAATTTCAGGACCCCAAGCTTTTGACCTGAGCTGAAGGCAGACACTTAACTACCTGAGCATTCTAGGTGTCCCCCAGCCACTCCGTATTATGTACATCCCCTCTCTCCAGTGTCTGTGAAGGAGTTTTACCCATGTGTGCGTGCGCATGTGTTAAGAACATTGAACCTAAGACCTACACTCTTAGCAAACTTTTGGCCACAACACAGCATTGTTAACTATAGCCTCTGTGCTGTGCATTAGATGAGTAGGATTTATTTATCTTGCACGGATGAAACTTGGACTGATGAAGTCATTTAATATTTCTCCTTCTGTGTCTGACTTATTTCATTTAGCATAATGTCCTTTAGGCCCACCCATCTTGATGAGGATTCGAAGAAAATGGAAACCTTGTGCACTGTTGGTGGGAATGTAAATTGGTCCAGCCAC